TGATAATTTGTCAAATGGAAGAATAATCCTGTCAATCAATCAACACTGAGCACCAATGGAAATGATAAAAGCAGAATAATACTAATATAAGACTTTAGATTTTAATTGCTAGTCTCTCGTCACCCATGCAGTCTGTGTCCTGGGAAGGATGGCACTAATCCTAAACTTAATGTGCCTGGGAGAAAAGCAGAAGTGGGCGTATGAGTGACACACTTACAGATTTTATACGGCTATCTGCAAACTCTCGTTGCCCTTCTCTCTCTTCTCATCTCTCTCCGGAATATCAATCATTTTGCTATTTTCCCTTTTTACAGCAATTTTCCTTTGAAGTCTTGCCCTTTATTCCTACCGTGGCCTACCCGCCTTTATTGCAGCAGGCTGCCAGCTGCTCGAAGCCAGCAGGCTGACCCCAGTCTACCTCGCATCATCTTACAGAGCTCATGTGCACTCACACCAGGAATCATTTAAAGTAGCCTTTAGTATTGTAATAGCGATAAACTGTTGCTGTAAAGTGCAAGGAAGTAAAACTGGCAATAATAAGTGAACACTGAGGCTGCTCTGTTATTTTTCCCCAGTGGTAAGTGGTCAAAAAGGGGCGGTGCCAGTGCAAATAGTTTGAAAAACATCTTGGGATGTGGCCTGTAAGGTCAGGTGACCAGCTACCAGCTGTCACTCTTTGAATACAGTGCGTCAGTGTGTGCTTATGTGCGTGTGTGTTTCTGCGTCTATGTGATTGAGTGCGTCGAGAGCCTCGTCGGTTTGCAGGGTTTTTCTGACCTACATACTGCTCTCGACGATCAACTCCGAAGAAATCTGTGTTAATCAGCGGCCTCTCCAGCCAGCCAGTCTGCTGCCACTAGCGCAGTGACAAAGCAGATCAGCAGACCTCATTAAGACCAAAGAAACAATAAGCTTAGATTTTCATTTCTCTGAGCCTCCACCACCCGACCTCGCTCACAGCTGGCTCCACTCGGGTCATCTTAGTGAACAGAATGGTGCCGTGAGAGACAATACACTTACTTAAGGGTGTGAAAAGTCTGTTTATTTTGTTTATGTGACCTTTACGACTTAGAAAGGGAAAAACACACTAACTGCTTGTCTACCAACACTCTTAGCTTCTACTTTTTAACAACTCCCTACTAAAGCAACAAACGTATCTGTTCAACAAAGCTGATCGTTATCATGACACTATTTTTCCACCAGTTCATACAGCGGCTCGACTCCACACCATGTGAGGCTAAATTTCCCTTACCTCTAGAATTGGTCGCCATGTCCGCCACCTTCTGAAAGGCATCTAAAAAGGCCACTGCTGCCAGAATCGTGGTCCTGTAAGTACATTGGTTCATTGCACTCTCACCGCACAGAGTCTGTAAACACTGCACAAGAATTTTCCTCACTGAGGTTCACTGTTCACAGGAACTGCTTCTCACCTGAGTTGAGAGTGTAGCTTTGTGGCCTTGGCACTGAAGTCTTCCCACACAGGGTAAGAGCTCTGATAAGAGAAAGGAAAAGTGTTAAACCAAATAAATATCTCATCGAGGACATTCAGGTCCGCGTGCTTCAACAAAAACAGCAGGCACAAAAAGTTCAGTGGTAGATTTAGTCACACAAAATGCATTTTCTCATTAATTTTGGTGGAAAATACCAGGTTGAAATCCAAATAAGGAAAATAAATGTATATACCCTACCCCCCAAAAACATTTGTTTTATTCTGGGAAAAATCAGTCAATCACATAACGCCTGACAGACCC